GAGGGAGAGCCGAGCTTAGGTCTACTCCTTGAAAAGGGACAAGATGCCATCTGCCTGCGAAGTTCTGAGGAGAAAGTAGAACTGCGGATGGGAGGCGAGGATATATACTGTCTACGAACTTGGGGACGGTTTGGAGGTTGCTGAGACTATCTTGGTGTCCACAGTTTCAAGCGAACTCGAATGAAGAAGTGACGGAACGAACAAGGTTGTCATCAGGGACGGATGAGGACCTGGGTTACTTGAATTTAATACATTTTATTTCATATACAAATTTTTGAACTCTGGCGCAACATCAATTTGGCGGAGTGACTTGGGAAAAGTAATTTGAGTGCGACACGATTAAGATGACGTCTTTTGGCGGGCGATGTACGAAATCACTTACAATCGCGACTTAAAATTTTTTTTTGTGCGGCAGCGCGATTTAAGAAAATATTGTTGCGCGCAGCCTGAGAAAAGGCTTTGATCAACCGCGCGGCTTTAGAGGCAATTTTGGCGGCACGGATCAAGATTTTTAAATAATTAGTTGAGCCGCGACTTAAGAGAAGACTTTGAGTAGCTCCGCGACTTAAGAGATCATTTTGAGCTGTCGCAAGAACAAATTTAAAAAATTGGCTGTGCGGCTTAAGAAAACTACTTTGAGCTGCAGCGTGAACTACACGTCGACCTTGGCGGAATGACGTAAGAAAATGTTTTCAGTCGCGCCGCGACCGAAAAAAGAATTTGACTGAGCGACTGGACTTGGTTTTTTTCGTTGCGACTTAAGAAAATACCTTGAGCTTCTGCACGGGTTTAGAGACGATTTTGGCTGCTAATGAGAGAAAAAATCCAGCAGCGGCGCGGCGCGGCGCAAAACATTTTAAGAGATGTCTTTGCACTGTGACGAGACTTAAGAAAAAGCCATGTGTTAGGGCGCGACAAAACAAAACATTTTTTCAGCTGCTGCGCGACTTAAGAAAAGTTTTAAGCCGAACAATTTGGGCTACTATGAATAGAAAACTTGGACTACGGCTAGACTTGCGAAAAAAGCTGTTGCAACACAAGAAAATACCTTGAGCTAAGGCGCGGTTTTAATGATCATTTAGGTGGCCTCACCAAAAAAAATATCAGCAGCGGCGCGACGCAAAACATAATTTTGAGCTGCGCTGCGACCTAAGAAGGATCTTTGAGCTTTAGCGCGACTTAATATAGGTCTTTGAGCTTTAGCGCGACTTAAGAAAAAGCATCGTGCTACTGTGAGATTTAACAGACGACTTAAGAAAAAAAACTTCTTAGCTGTATTGCGACTGGAGAAAATTGTTCGAGCTATGGCGAGAGTTAAAGAGTATTTCGACGACACGAAATAAGAAAAAATCTATTTGTTTTAATTTTAGAGAAAAAATCTCGGCTCACGGCGTCTCAACTTGAGAACATACTGTAGACTGCAGCTCGACCTTTAAGAAATCTTTGAGCTGCGGTGCGATATAAGAAAAAATTGGCAACGCGATTTTCGAGTTGAAGTGAAATTTAAAAGAAGTTTTTTGCGTTACGAATTTAAAAAAATACATAAAAAAATATACAACATAAAAATATAATAATGCAACGTGGTTTCAGGAAATACCATGAGCTACGGCTTGGCTTCATAGGCAACTTTGATGGCCGGAATCAAGAATCAATTTTCAGCAGCAAATTTTGAATATTTTGGCCGCGCAATTTTAAGCTACAGCGCGATTTCAGAAAAACTTAGGCAGCGCAAGTTGAGAATTGACTTTGACTGCAACATTTGAGGCAAGCGATGTGAGAAAAAAAAATAGAATTCGAGCTGCGGCACGCGATTAGACAAAAGACGTTTCCTTGAGTGTGGCCGCTAAAATTGACGTTGAAGCCGAATCGTAGCTTAAAGTATTTTCTTAAGCCGGGAACATAGTTTCAGCCGCAGCGCGACGCAGAGTAAGATTTTCAGTTGCGCTGCGATGTGAAATAAGACTTCAAGCTAAGGCGCGACTTAAGAGAACACTTTGGCGGTGCTACTCACGAAATTACTTAGAACGGTTGTCAAATTGAGAGACGAGTTTGGCGGAACGATTTAAATGTACTATAACTTTTAGTAGTGGCGCCACTAAAAAAACTCTTAGTGGCGCCACTACTGCGGCGCGCCATAGGATGAAATTTTAGCTGAGAGACGTAAGAACTGTAAGCTACGGCGTGCTTAAAGTATAATTTCGAGCCGCAGCGCATTTAACAAGAAAAATTTGATGACTTGGAGATGACTTGGAGCATTTTTGGAGACAAATTTGGCCCTGCACTCAGAAAAGTAACTTAAGCCGAGGGGTGACGCAAAGGGTGAAGTCCCATTTGCACCAAAGTTCATTTGTACCAAAATGAAAAATTGGTCCCATTTGTACCAAAATTATTTAACTCAATTTCTGATTGGTTGAAATGTGAGTGTCACCGCCAAAGTGTTCTCTTAAGTCGCGCCTCAGCTCGAAGTCTTAGTTCATATCGCAGAACAACTGAAAGTCTTTCTCTGCGTCGCGGCGCTGCGGCTGAAACTATGTTCCTGACTTAAGAAAATACTTTGGGCTACGATTCGGCTTGAATGTCAAAACTCAAGGCCCGTTTTAAGAAAAAACTTTAAGCTACGATTCGGCTTTAAGGTCAAATTTAGCGGCCACACTCAAGGAAACAATTTCAGGCGCCGCGGTACGCAAAGCAAAACTTTGAATTGCGCTGCGAATCAAAGTAAGACTTTAAGCTACGATGCGTTTTTCGATAACATTTAGCGGTGCTACATTAGAAGTTAACTTGATCAATGGTACGGTTTAAGCGGCGACTTTGACAGCAAGAGATTTTAAAAACTGGGGCTTAAACGTGCGACTGAAGAAAAGTTTTGGAGCTGCTGCTTGATTAAGATGGTGTTTAAGCTGAAGGACTTAAGAGAAAACTGTGAGCTACGGCATGACTTGAGAAAGTAATTTAACCCGCAGCGGGATTTAAAAGAAAACTTTGAATTGCGGTGCGACTACAGAGAATTTTTAAACTGTTGCAGAAAATAGGAGAGCAATTTGTCGAAGCGACATAAGAAATTACCGCGGTTAAGTATCGTAAATAACGACGCAACGTACGAAAAGGCTCTAAGTCGCGGTGCGACTGAAGAAAAGTATTCGTGCTGCGGCGCGACAAAACAAAGAAATTATGGCGGAAAGATTTAAGTAAAACTGTGAGCTACGGTGTGGCCTGAGAGGAAGCTTTGCAAACTACGAAAATATTGTCGTGCGCGACCTAAGAAACAATTTTGAGCTACGTCGCGGATTTAAGTGCGATTTTGGCGGCTAAACACAAGAAAAAAAAATTCGACACAAAAAAAGTTTTGAGCTGCGCCGCGACTTATGAGAATACTTTGACCTGTTGCGCAGCTTAAATTATTCTTGGCGCGACTGAAGAAGCGCCTTTGTGCTGCGGCGCGACTTCAAAAAACTTTCAAGCTGAACGAGACTTCAAAAAAAAACGCGGGCTCTTAACACGTTTTCATTGTATATTGCCCAAAAATTGGATCTAACATACAAAAGTTTTGCTTAAAAACTTTAGTTGATGGTTTATAGCCGCTCCTTAACAAAGGTACTAGGCAAAAACCACCGAGGGTTCTATTTATTTTCAAATTAATTTCGTCTACAGTAATTTAATATTATAAACTCGAGGTGTCTTTGTGTTTTTTTTTATTTTGAACTGTTTTTGTAACGTTGAGGTTGCTATCTGAGAGTGTTGAAGTTGTTAGTTTTTTTAGTAAGACCAAGTGTAATATGAAAGTGTAATATGAAAGGCATTTTTAATCGCCATTAGGAATGAAGGAATATGCTTGTCTCCATAATCTTCCGTCACATTTGAATTTCAATTATGAAAAAATGATATAGCGTAAACGTTGTCATAAAATTTAAAACTCGCAAACCAACTTCTTTGAACATGGAACTTTGCATAGCAACCTGGCGCAGTTAGCCAAAAAGTCACATTAAACTACTATGTACTGTAGTCCGGGCTAGTTTTCCTTTCTTCCATTGCAAACGAGCATCAATTTTATGCTGTAACGAGTGGTTTTATAAAGTTAGTTATGAAGACCAATTATGCTTGTCATAACCTAATCAGTCCCCGTGCCGATTTTCATGAAATTCGAACTATGTGAACAAAGTTAGTACTTTTAAGTAATTACAGAAGGGGGAAGAAAAAAGAACCGTAGTCAAAACAAAGTACTATGAATGTAGTTTAAAAAAAACGTTTTCCAGAAAAAACTCTCAAAAAATTGAAATAGGGGAAAAGAAAGTGCAAAGGAGACCGGAATAGTGCAACCAACACTCAATTTGAAAGCTGACACAGACCCATCCACTCTTAGGTTTAATTTTTGTCGCCTGGTATCAAGTTATCTCCCCGTGTGAGTCATCATTTTCTCAAAATATTGTTAACTATCGCTTTCAGCGAATATTCAAGCCACAATTGGGCGGATGATGGGCTCTTTTTTGCAAATTTTAACCAGTAATTTTGTTGATCACATTGACCGAATATATCAAAAAGTGGCATGTGGATTCATTAGGCTATGACAGTTATATTTGGTTTTGATATTTAAGCTTACAAATCCATCGTTACACCATTAAATTGATAATTGATGGGCTCTTTTCCAGTTTCCCACCCCCCCCCCCCCTCGTCAAATAACAGAATAAAGCTGTTCAAAGATTGTTCAAACGGTATTTTTAATTTTAAAAATTGTAAAAATTTGTTCACCTGTTCACGCCGAACAATTTAATGCAGCTTTAAACATGAAAAGTAATTTTAAATAGACTTTCCTTTAATGACTTCCAGGAAAAGTCAAGGAAAGGGGGACCGGAAAAGAGCCAATTGATGCTTATAATTGTCGAAAAGGTAAAAGTGACTATTTTTTGAACCCACACATTTTAACTTTTTACCGAACTAACCAAAAAAATTCAACCATGTGACTTGACTATTTTTTAATAATTAAATCTTTAGTTAAAATTGAACGTGCGCTTTTAGTAAAGCCGTCACTGTCATTTATATTTGTTATAACCAGAGCAGATTAACAAAACATTCATATAACAGCAGCACAGGTGTACTGATAAAAACATTCGTAATCTTTCATCTGAATCGGCTGTGATTCCACGTACAATAAATAAGTGTGAAGGTACAGTTCGTGTTTACAGCTGTCACTTGACTTCCAATTATTTTGGCCAGCTTCCGAAGACTGACCTTTGACCTTTTTGACCCTAGTGAGTGTCTAATTGTTGATCCCTAGAGCCATGACGACCATGGTCCACTTTGAGAATAAGCCCATCAAGCAGTCTCTGCAGATGAATGTGGCCACACAACTAGCCAGAATCAACGTAAGTCTTTTTAACTTTCACAGCTCTTTTTCGCTTTCCCCCACAATATATATTTTTTTTCAGTTTACGCATTATTATGGCTGCATGCTTGATTTTACGATGTAAGGCATGAAGAACAAATGTGTTCACAATGAATAGTGCGTTCACCGTGCAAAGTTTAATTACATTATGACCAGATAAAGTTAGTTTTTCAGAATTGAAATTCAAAGGTGGGCGAAAGTGGAAAAAAGCCATTTCCACAGCCCAGAAAACCAAAAGGCTCTTTTTCCTTTCCGCACCTCACATAAGCGGAGGCATTTAGAGAGGCACTTAGGATAGTGCTAAAGCGTTCATTCTGAATTCGTCAGCTCGTGTATTCGATCCCATGTCAAGGCAAGGATAATGTTTGTTGTTGTTGTTGTTGTTGTTGTTGTTGATGTTGTTGTTGTTGTTGTTGTTGTTGTTGTTGTTGTTGTTGTTGTTGTTGTTGTTGTTGTTGTTGTTGTTATTGTTGTTGTTGTTGTTGTTGTTGTTGTTGTTGTTGTTGTTGTTGTTGTTGTTGTTGTTGTTGTTGTTGTTGTTGTCGTTGTTGTTGTTGTTGTTGTTGTTGTTGTTGTTGTTGTTGTTGTTGTTGTTGTTGTTGTTGTTGTTGTTGTTGTTGTTGTTGTTGTTGTTGTTGTTGTTGTTGTTGTTGTTGTTGTTGTTGTTGTTGTTGTTGTTGTTGTTGTTGTTGTTGTTGTTGTTGTTGTTGTTGTTGTTGTTGTTGTTGTTGTTGTTGTTGTTGTTGTTGTTGTTGTTGTTGTTGTTGTTGTTGTTGTTGTTGTTGTTGTTGTTGATTGGAATTTTCAGCTACTACTGATGGGATTGCTCCAGGTGAGTTTTCAATATTTTTTCGAGTTTCTGCGGCCATGGCAATCACATACAGTAAGCCAGCTACAGATGTTAGCTTCTGAAAAATTCTCATTGACGTAATTCTTTATCGTCATCAAAGTTTTGTTTTTCAAACCCATCAACTTAGTGAAATCCTTAAGTTCATTCAATCTGATTTTTTTTCTACAAGTTCTAAACGTGATTTCTACTCTTGTTTTTCTGTTTTTGTTTTGCTCAGTTCAGAAACCTCGAAGTTTCTTTCAAATGCTTCGTTTTCAGTTGGTAAAATGAGACTAGACTCAGTTTCAGAACTCAATTTAGCAACCAAAAGAATGTCATTTAGCTGAAGCGACATTAGAAGTGGTTACAATTTTGGCATTTTATGTTGACTGAGTGTGTGAGGACGAGCTTCGGCTGGATTTTCGTTAAAGTATTGATATGGGCCTGAAAAATTATGGGAAAAAAAAAAGAAAAGACTAAAACTGATGATAAAGATAAATCTATTATTATAGCTAAAGACATCAATATACCTAAGACTAGAAAAGGGGGAGGCAAGAGTCTGGATAGAGTGGCGAATTCTATGATGATCGTGACTACGCCCCCGAGTAAAGGAGTGAGGTCAAGGAAGAGGAAGTGGAAGATGGAAGAAGTGAGTCCCTCGTCGCAGGCGGTGTCGGAGAAGAGCTTGAAGGAGACGGCCCCGATGATCCTAGCGAGATGGAAGACGGCAACCTACAAGAACAACTCGAGGACCCGGAATTTGGCTGAGGTACTGACCGAGATGTAAGTCGCAACCGTTTCAGGAGCAGAAGGAGACTTCAAACCTCAAAAGGTGAAAGCAAAAAGAAACTCCACCAGTGGAAAAATGTGGGAGGTGGACGTTGGTAAAGAATGGATCTCGAAACAACACCAGAGCATTGGAACACAAGTGAAAAGTGATCCCCTTGAGAAAGGATTATAGAGAAACAGCGCCCGCTCCTGGTGGATAGCTCCGGATACAACAAAAGAGTTGAAAAGCTGCCTAAAGAAATTGGATCGCGGAGTGTCCAGAAAGCGCCGAAACTGGGCCACACAACAAAGACCCGAAGTGAGCAAATTGGAATTGAGAAGCCAGTTGGCACGAAACTGGGAGAAGCTGTTGCTAGAGTACTTTGAAAATGAGATGAGGGCACCCTCATCAGCACAACTCTTAATGGCAAACCCTTTTGTCAGGACGGCGGGGCAATTGGTGTTTACATGGAGCTTGACATTAGAAGAACTAACTTTAGGAGATAAGCTAAAGTTGGGTGAAAAAGGCTTACATGTGTATCGATTGCTGATGTAGCATGTCGCTCGAGATAACTCGGGGTTAAGTCCTACGAGAAGAAAGGATGCCACCTGTTTCTTGAGATGGATAACGTCAGTGATACCGGATGCTACCATCCAAGCCTGCCATCAGAACGCGACCGGAAGTAAAGCCTTGGAGAAGAAGGTCTCGATTGTCATCTTGAATGTGTATCAGAGTATGGGAATTGAAAAGAATGATGATTCGAGACAGTCTCTTGAGAACCATGCAAAATTTGACGAGATCAGAAGGTTCTCCAATAAGAAATTTGACGACGGTTATGATGTACATCGTCCGTTGGCCTTGACGGAGAATCACTCGAAACCCACGAAGCGCAAGTAATATCAGTATGTTTCTGGCATCATAAGAATATCGTAGAATCCCTTCTTGAGAACAGAGGCAGGAGCTGCCTACATGAACTTCGGGGTCACAGACTTGCTGAAGTTTTGGACGGGAAGAATAGTCGATGTTGACGCAATTGAGAGGGAGAAGCCGAGCTTAGGTCTGCTCCTTGAAAAGGGACCAGATGCCATCTGCCTGCGACGTTCTGAGGAGAAAGTAGAACTGCGGATGGGAGGCGAGGATATATACAGTCTACGAACTTGGGGACGATTTGGAGGTTACTGAGACTATCTTGGTGTCCACAGTTTCAAGCGAGCTCGATTGAAGAAGTGACGGAACGAACGAGGTTGTCATCAGGGAAGGATGAGGACCTGGGTTACTTGAATTTAATACACTTTAATTCATATACAAATTTTTGAAATGTGGCGCAACATCAATTTGGCGGAGTGATTTGGAAAAAGTAATTTGAGCTGCGACACGATTAAGATGACGTCTCTTGGCGGGGCGATGTACGAAATCACTTTCAGTCGCGACTTAAATTTTTTTTTGTGCTGCAGCGCGATTTAAGAAAATACTGTTGCGCGCAGCCTGAGAAAAGGCTTTGATCAACCGCGCGGCTTTAGAGGCAATTTTGGCGGCACGGATCAAGATTTTTAAATAATTAGTTGAGCCGCGACTTAAGAGAAGACTTTGAGTAGCTCCGCGACTTAAGAGATCATTTTGAGCTGTCGCAAGAACAAATTTAAAAAATTGGCTGTGCGGCTTAAGAAAACTACTTTGAGCTGCAGCGTGAACTACACGTCGACCTTTGCGGAATGACGTAAGAAAATGTTTTTAGTCGCGCCGCGACCAAAAAAAGAATTTGACTGAGCGACTGGACTTGGTTTTTTTCGTTGCGACTTAAGAAAATACCTTGAGCTTCTGCACGGGTTTAGAGACGATTTTAGCTGCTAATGAGAGAAAAAATCCAACAGCGGCGCGGCGCGGCGCGGCGCAAAACTTTTTAAGAGATGTCTTTGCACTGTGACGAGACTTAAGAAAAAGCCATGTGTTAGGGCGCGACAAAACAAAACATTTTTTCAGCTGCTGCCTGACTTAAGAAAAGTTTTAAGCCGAACAATTTGGGCTACTATGAATAGAAAACTTGGACTACGGCTAGACTTGCGAAAAAAGCTGTTGCAACACAAGAAAATACTTTGAGCTAAGGCGCGGTTTTAATGATAATTTAGGTGGCCTCACCAAAAAAATATCAGCAGCGGTGCGACGCAAAACGTAATTTTGAGCTGCGCTGCGACCTAAGAAGGATCTTTGAGCTTTAGCGCGACTTAATATAGGTCTTTGAGCTTTAGCGCGACTTAAGAAAAAGCATCGTGCTACTGTGAGATTTAACAGACGACTTAAGAAAAAAAACTTCTTAGATGTATTGCGACTCAAGAAAATTGTTCGAGCTATGGCGAGAGTTAAAGAGTATTTCGACGACACGAAATAAGAAAAAATCTTTATTTTTTAAATTCAGAGAAAAAACCTCGGCTCGCGGCGTCTCAACTTGAGAACATACTGTAGGCTGTAGCTCGACTTTTAAGAAATCTTTATGCTGCGGTGCGATATAAAAAAAAATTGGCAACGCGATTTTCGAGTTGAAGTGAAATTTAAAATAAGTTTTTTGCGACACGAATTTAAAAAAAATACATAAAAAAAATATACAACATAAAAATATAATAATGCAACGTGACTTCAGGAAAGACCATGAGCTACGGCTTGGCTTCATAGGCAACTTTGATGGCCGGAATCAAGAATCAATTTTCAGCAGCGAATTTTGAATATTTTGGCCGCGCAATTTTAAGCGCGATTTCAGGAAAACTTAGACAGCGCAAGTTGAGATTTGATTTTGACTGCAACATTTGAGGCAAGCGATGTGAAAAAAAACCAGAATTTGAGCTGCGGCACGCGATAAAACAAAAGACGTTTCCTTGAGTGTGGCCGCTAAAATTGACGTTGAAGCCGAATCGTAGCTTAAAGTATTTTCTGAAGTCGGAAACATAGTTTCAGCCGCAGCGCGACGCAGTGTAAGACTTTCAGTTGCGCTGCGATGTGAAATAAGACTTCAAGCTGAGGCGCGACTTAAGAGAACACTTTGGCGGTGCTACTCATGAAATTACTTAGAACGGTTGTCAAATTAAGAGACGAGTTTGGCGGAACGATTTAAAAGTACTATAGCTTTTTGTAATGGCGCCACTAAAAAATAAATTCTTTGAGCTGCGGCGCGCCAGTGGATGAAATTTTAGCTGAGAGACGTAAGAACTGTAAGCTACGGCGTGCTTAAAGTATAATTTCGAGCCGCAGCGCATTTAACAAGAAAAATTTGATCTCCGGAGCGTTTTTGGAGACAAATTTGGCCCTGCACTCAGAAAAATAACTTAAGCCGAACGGTGACTCAAAGGGTGAAGTCCCATTTGTACCAAAGTTCATTTATACCAAAATGAAA